GGCAGGTCTAAGCCCATAGAAAGAGGAACTGTGTTTGGATTGACTTGATGTTACATTGCATTAAAAGGGTGAACTTGGCCAGTGAACTTACACCCTAGGGCTTCCCAGACTGTCAGTCCACATAAGGTTCCTGGGGAAGGTCCCTGGGCTGGGCATTGCTGAGATCCCTTTTGGCCTGAGATAGGTAGGAGGCCTAGATAATTTTAGACCAAAACACAGAGGGAGTCCTCCTCTGTATTTCAGCTCCTGTAGGCTCAGGAGTGGGGAAAATGGGATGAAGAGGAAAGGTTGATGAGGAAGACCAGTGAAGAGGCTGGTGCAAACAATCCGGGGAGAAAAAAAAAAAAAATTATAAAGGCCTGAATTGAAAGAGCTGATAATGGAGACAGCCACTCTGTGAGAAGCCTGAGATAAAACTGACTGAATTGTTGAATTAGGGAGATGAGAAAGAGATGATTGGAGGATGAATTCTGGATTTCTAGCTTGGGGGAAAAGGAGTGTAGTGTTTTCATATTGATTGAAAGAGAATATACGAAAACTTAGGGGAAATGGAAAAAAAAATTCTAAACTTCTGCTTCTGATTAATTTAGCTTGGAAAAAAAAGAGAAATACACATATACTAAATTTGCTGAAATGTAGATAATTGTAAGAACATTTTAATTTAGTTTAGAACGTGCAGGGAATTAGAGGTGACTTTGTATGGATGATGAGGTCTAGTCAAAATAAGTCTTTGACATCTAGCTAAAATTTGTTTTCTTAAACAAGATAAAATTATTGAACTAATAACAATTAAGTCTTCACTTCCCCCAAGAGGGCTTTAGGATTAAATGAACCTAAGATAAAGGAATGTGATTCTCTTTCCGTAGCATAAATTTAGCAGTGGCTTGAGGATTTGGGGTTACCAACATTATGGTAGTCATTTGCAGAAGACAACTGCCAGATAATGGCAACATCCTGCCCCAGGATCCGGGAGGGGAACATGCTGTGTGTGGGGAGAAAGGACGAAAAAGAGGATGATCAGTGGTATCACTTCCACATTTGTCCCCTGTACCTGATCATTAGGTTTATCTACTTGCTTTTTTAGGTACCCGGTTTCAAGAGATCAATTTTGTCAGACCGCATGTGAGGGTTGGATTAGCTAGGGAAGACTGGAAAAGGCTGTCTTCATTTCTATTGATCCATCTGCAACTGGTCAAATGAGGAAGTGAACACCATATGGGCAGTTGTGGTCATGCTGAGAAGGACTTTCATGTAGATTATCCAGTGGGAGTTAGAAATATGAGCCTGGAACTTGATATGTAATCTACTGACTTAGAAGTGGCTGATGAATGCCTTGGGCTGGGAGGTAGGGGAGAATCTCCTGAGGGAGCACTATGAGAAGTAAGAGTGGATCGTAGATGGAATTTCTGCTGATCTAATAGTTAAAAGACTTGCTGAGAACTGCTGAGTCAATGGCATCTGAAAAAGAGACTCAAATCAAACATTCAGAGATACAGGATGATATTTATTCTTTAAAAAATGTACACAAAATCTTAAGGATACCTCACATTACAACAGCTGTATATTTACCTTTTCTTATACTACATGCCTCACATAATAAAACCCAATCTAGAGATGGTTTTGAGATACATTTTTTCAACAAGGATCAACAACACTTTCACCAAAAAAATGAAACAAGTTTATTATAGCATCGCTACTATATATAGCTGTGTTTTCACATCAAGTTGGTTTAGTTCTTTGAAGAAAGTCTTTAACAACTAAAATTGTACAGATCACAGGGTAAGAGGACCTAGTCTAACAAATTCAGTAAAAGATATTTCAGGACAACCATACTATACTTTAGACTATACTAAAACTGTCTTTTGAAAATTATTTATAAGTTTATCATAGTACAAACACTCTAAAATTTTAAAATAAATCTATGGATATTATACAAAAATATTCTAAAGTATAAATATAAACACTGAATAAAACATTCACCATGTTCAGTGGAAACTATCATTCAAAATATATTCTAGGTGGTAAACTTAAAGTGATAACCACCAAACAGTGTTTCCTTAATTATTCATCACTTAAAATAGTAGTAATCACAAAGTTTAGAGTTTCATTATAAAATTTTCAGTTTCACAAATGCAAGATACACAATTTCTTGTATACATAGACACCTTTTCTCTTTAGCTCACAGAAAAAGGCATTAAAGTAACACAAACTTCTTAGTCAAAATTTGACATGTCACATAAAGCATAAAAATTGCAAAATTTTCAAGAACTTATATCCTTAGCTGATTCCCTTTAAGAGGGAAAGAGTTAAATATTGTACATAAGAAAAGACAAAAACCACACTGCTACAGTATACCTAAATCAATCTAAAAACAATGTTCCTGTATACTTTAGAAAAATGTTAAGTATTAAATCTTCTTTAAAAGCCATCATTTTATGAATAACTATGACAAAACAAAATATTTGCATGTAATCAATTTTAGTATGAAATATGTTTGGAATAGTATAAGAAGCATCTTGCCAAGAGCATTATTTTGCTGTATAAAAAAGTAAGCATATCTTCTTAATAATTTCTCCTAAATGCTACAAATGACTATTTTAAAACAATGTTGATATTATTTACAGTTATGTTTTTACCTTGAGGTACAAATTTTGCATTAGGCTAGATTTTTTTTTTTTTTTAGTAGGCTCCATACCCAATGTGGGGCTTGAACTCACAACCCTGTGATCAAGAGTTGCATGCTCTACTGACTGAGCCAGCCAAGCACCCCTAGGCTGGATATTTTTAAAAGCAAAAAGGTAGACTTGTGACTTATTAACATGCCAATTTTAAGTTAAAATACCATTAAAATATACATATCCTAGTTACTAACTACATTCTTACAGAGAAAATGCACATGAAATTTATTACCCTACAAATAACTTGGACTTTAGTCCCAGCTTTGGCTCTTTTCCATTCTATTAAGTAAAGTTTTAAACATGGCATTTCGTGGATAATTCACTGTAGATACTAGGACTGCAATTAAACAACTGAAAAAGTACTAATGACTTCTACTTTAGAACAGAGTAAATACTGACACTGGGAAAATCTGAGAAGGCTCATTTTCCTTAACATGTTAGTGCAAATTAACAAACTTTTAGAAGAATTTACTCATGGAAAGTGGGAAGCATAATCTCATCTTCATTCATTCCTTGTTCATATCGAACTGAAGAGAAGACTGCCCAGTGCAAACGGTTCCTTTGGAAGAGGAACCAAATCAGTGCACTGATGAGAGCTAAGACACTTAGCACAGCAAATGTGATAGTTATTCCTCGGTAATCAGAGCCTAGAATACGGAAAGGTTTGACATTGGAGGAGAGAATATAAAAGCGATCATTATTGATCTAATACATTAGGCTGTGTGTCACATTGTAAACTCTGTACGAATTAGACACAATAAGTACTTGATTGTTTCATAGCGTTAACACAGAATTCAAAGTCATCATCAAACACTCGAGTATTTTCTTTACAGATTTAACTGTTTTCCTTTTCATTCAAATCCTATTCATTGTTTTAGCAATTTTCTTCTAAAGAACTTAGAGCATTATCATTATTCTCACTTTCCCTCCTCATCATCCTTTCTGAGAACATTACTCCCAGTATGTTACCTTACTTTGATAGCAAATTGCTATAAGTTGTAAATTTTTGTGTTTGACTCACCCAGTGCCAAATAAAGTGTTATTTGCTTTAAAGCAAATTTACGACTTTAGGATGATTTCATTTAGCTACTAGCTATTCAATTTCAAATGCTCTCCCAGGCCCCTTCTCTACATGCTGCACAGATGGACTCATTCCGTCCCCTTGTTTTAAACATCATCTCTAAGCTGACCTCCCTTCTCTTTCATATGTCCAACTGCATGCTAGACATTCCATATGAATATCTCATCTCCATATGGACAGTTCAAAATGCCAAATCAGAACTCTCGGCTTACATCACCCTAACCCTGCTCCTGGGCTCCCCCCATAATCTTCCAGTTGTTTTCCATTTCACTCAGCATAGAACCTGAACTCTTCAGCCTGGCTTCCAGAGCCCTAGGTGGCTGGTACGTGCCTACCTTTCAGCTCTTCCTTGAGCACTCGTCAAGCTTGTTCTGCTTGAGGCTTTTTGCTCCATCTGGTACCTCTCCCTGGCGTGCCTTTTCCCCGATCGTTGTTTGGCTGGCCTTTCAAATCTCAGCTTCAGTGTCTCCTACTCTTAGACATCTTCCCTGATAACCTAATCTAGTGTAGCCATCCCCATACCCAGCACACAAAACCCAGCATACAGTAGACACTCCAAATATTTGCTGAATCAATGCATGAATATATAGATACCAATCACTTAGTACTGGCGATTTATCTTCAATATTTATTCACCAAAAGGACGCTTTTATGCTAAATCTTTAAAAATGTTGCCACGAAAAACTTAGAGCTCCTTTCTCTAGAAATGAAATTAAGGTAAGATTTTTTCTGGTTATTCTATGCATCAATTCAGGATGAAACCTAAGTTTGAATTATGACTTTCTACAGATGTTCCTTCCAGGAAATTTTAAGTAATTAAATCCAGTTTTGCACTGTTGCTAAGCTAATCATGAGTTTTATGGGAATGAGGAGAAAGGAAGCAAGCTTGACCTTTTACATATCTGACCGACAGAATCAAATATATCTTAAGAACATATTCAAAGAAATGAGCTCCCTAATATTCTGGCAGCTTCTATTTTTCTTAGGAAATAATTACACAAAGTTTAGGCTGTTTGTGGTTTCACCTGGGAGTCTTAGACATCTTGGTATTTATTATCTCTTACAATATATTTTTCTGAGGGAAAGCATCTGTGTAGCTTAAGCAATTTTTTTGGTTATCCTTTAAGGACTAAATAAGGACTTCAGGAGGCAAGTGCAAAACATTGCACATAATTGAGTTGTACATTTACTTCCTGACCTGTTCTGCAAAAATATTCCTTAAGGGCAGGTTCCATACTTACCCAGAGGAGCTTTGCAGACAACCCTTCCATAGCCATGTGAACATTCAACTTTTATCCAAGTTTCATTTGAAGCTAACAAAATGCTACATTTTCCATCACCACTCTTAATTTTATTTGCCCATTTGACAAATGTCACTTTTGATCCATCCAACCAATTCCAAGACTGATCTAAAGAAAGAAATTAAGTTTATTGTCTCTAAATTTCTAAGGTAGAAAGGCATGTGGCTCGTATAACTCATTTACATAGAACTATGCTATGCCACTGTTGAAAATGAAACTTATTAAAAATGAAAATATTTTTTTTAATGAAAATATTTAAAAAAAAAATCAGTCCTTCAGTTGCACTTGTCACATTTCAAGTGCTCCATAGCCATATATGGCTAGTGACTATACTCTGTTACACAGCACAGATATAGAACATTTCCATCTTTGCGGAAAGTTCTATTAGCACTGATACAAAATGTGGTGTTTTGATTAAAAAGTAGAATGCTTGCACATTCATTGTGGAAGGGATAGATTTCTAAAGACCTGCATCTCCACCAGCAACCTTACCTCCTACTAAAAAACTCGTATCATTAAAGATGTGCTGGGGGAAGAAGGGTCTAGAGGGTCCAGGAGGGTCTCCCCACCAGGACTCCATTTTTATTTTCCAGCTGAGGTAGCACCACCTTGTGGTGATAGTGTAAACACAATTTATAACTCATTTAGATGGCCAACTTTGAATCCATTCATTTTGACAAGTGCTTAATATTTTGGAATTCACATGTATTTCAATTATTTAGAATTCAACTTTGCATAAAATGTGAAACACACTTCCTATTCTTCTATTGAATCTGTACTCTTCATTCTTTATCCATTTCAAATTCACTAAAATCTTTTTTAACCCATTACTGCTTGGATTAATCCATTATTCCTTGAGAAATTCTTCCACAAATCTTTTTTAATTCTGTGCAATTTTACTAAGCTGGTTTGAAAGACAAAATCATCATTAAGAATTAATTATTCTCTTGGGATGCCTGGGTGTCTCAGTAGGTTAAGCGTCCAACTTCAGCTGGGGTCATGATCTCACAGTTCCTGTTAGTGAGTTGAAGCCCACCTCTGGCTCTATGCTGACAGCTAAGAGCCTGGAGCCTGCTTCAGATTCTGTGTCTCCCTCTCTCTCTGCCCCTCCCCTGCTTGTGCTCTGTCTCTCTGTCTCCCTGTCTCTCAACAAATAAACAAACTTAAAAAAAAATTACAGAGGCAGTGTGCGTAGGGAAGGGACAGAAAGAGGGAGAGAGAGAATACTAAGCAGGTTCTGCACTGTCAGTGCAGAGCCTAATGCGATACCGTGAGATCATGATCTGAGCCAAAACCGAGAGTCAGACGCTTAACTGACTGAGCCACCCAGGCGCCCCAATATTAAAATTTTTTTAAAAGAATTAATTATTCTCTATGGTAAAAATATTTCAAGACGGAAGAGAACAATAAGAAGAGAACTTTCTGAATAACAGAGTTATAAGCTATAAAAATACGACTGATAGACACTAGAACTCTAAGGAAAGTAAGTCATGGGTTCTTTGTGGGACATGGGGAGCACAAATATCGTTGTAGGAGAAAAAATATGCTATTGATCCAAGTACCTTAAGCATCTAGAACACCCCAGTTGATTCAATCTGACTTTCTATTTCATTAGTATTTTCCATAGGTACTAATAAATCACTTGAATATTCATTAGGATTTTATAAATGTCCAAAACAGCCAGCAGACCTAGCTTATTCATCAATAAGAAGCATTTGAATTAACCACCACTTGACATTCTTTAGCAAGGCTGACTTGGTATTTAGGACAAACTGGAACTCTCTTTGCACACTGTCCACACAAATATGTCACTTACCAGTAGAATGTCGAGATAATCCGAGCCAAACTCTCATGGTAATATTATTATTTTCCCTCATCAGTCTGCTCACAAATTTATTCTCATCTTCATCCTCTATGGTAACAATAGTTGCAGAATGATCTGTTGAAGGAAAACAAACCCTAAACTAATGAGCTTTATGCAAACTAGGGAAATGGCTTATTTTCAAACAGCCATTTGAGAAAAAAAATCAATCTTGATAAAGATCATTGAGAAATTCAAGCTTTACATAGAGAATACTTTTTAAATCTGATATTTGTGTCATATTTTTAAAAGAATAGCATTAATAGATCCCCAAAAAAGTTAGACATATTTCTAGATTGAAACTTTATTTAGAGAAATGTTATGTTTCTTTAAAATGTTTACCTGATAATATTATTTGACCTTGGGACTGCCTACCAATGAGACCTTTGTATATGAACAGCTAGTTAGAAGAAGTGGGGTTTGTGATTGTAAAAAGACATATCAGCATACTCTCCATATAATAGCTCAGCTTTAAATTCGCTTCTATTAAAATGAAAATAAAAGCAAACAGGTTTGGGATATTGAGGAGCATTAGCGTTTCCTTTAATATTACTTTATACATAAATGAACTTGGTTATGCCCATTATATGTTCCCAAATATAGTATGGAACTGAATACTCTTGAAGTTTGATAAATTGCCCTAAACCCACAGAGAAAATAGTATTATCACCATCATCAAGCAAGGGATTAAAATAAAATAATAACTAGACTTGGAAATAAATCCTAAGTAGAATCACCTCTCCAACAGTGACAAGCCTATCTACACTTGAACTAAAGCATTTCTTTCGTGGTGGTGATACTGGGAGAATGGCAAAGGCAAGTCTTTACTCCTTTATAGAAGACCACAGTATGCACATGCTTGTTTAATATTACATAATCCTGTAGGGAAGATATCACTATTTTACAGATGAGGAAATTGAGCCTCAAGGAGATCAATCATTCAGGTTTATACAGCTAGCCAGTTATCAATTTAGAGAGACAATCTCAATATTTTCTAATAATAAGAATAATTTGCTTACTATTTGCAGGGCACGGTGCTACATTTGCATATATTATCTCATTTCATTCATTCCTACAACAACGCAACCTTTGAAATAAGTACTATTTTCATTCTCACTGTTCAGATGAGAAAAGAGAAGCAATTATGTAACTTCCATAGTATCACTCAGCTAATAAGTATGGGAGTAGGATTTAAAACTTAGACCTGTCTGCCTCCAAGGCTTAAGTACTTAACTCCCACACTACAATGACAGTAACCCTTCCTATTTTCTCCTGTAGGAGCAAGAGACTTCTCACTTTCAGAACACATACATAGTTCACAATAGTTCCCATCGTGTGTGTGTGTGTGTGTGTGTGTGTGTGTGTATACACATACACCACAGAGGAGTTCCCACACAAAAGTTTCCATCATGTAGTCAAGCAGTAACAAGGAGATTTTTAAATCAGGCAAATGACTCCACAACAGTTAGCAAAATAAATGAGAGATATGCCACCAGTCTGGCTAAACTGCTACCCAAGGATGCAGGTCTTTGAAATACTCTCAGTGGTCTCCCCAGAAGTCATTTCACAGTTTGACTATAGAGTAAATTTATTATGGGAGAGATCCAATTATTGCTGTTCTTTCTAAAATAGTTAAATTTGAAGACAAAAAGTCCTGTTCCTTATGATGTTCAGAGGATATGGGCCATTTCTATTGCAGGATGGATGAACAACCCATGCTTCCTTGATTTTGTTACCCTGGTCAGTGATAAGCTTACTTATTTATAACTAAGTAGTGGGAAAATCTGTAATTTGTATTTAGTACTTAACCAACTTCAAAAAAAAATTGCCTTTAATCCCTTCATCTAAGCATATCTAACTATATTTAAAACCATTTCATTTGTCCTTATTTTCACATAATAATTCACATAGAAATTTTTTATTCTACTTCTTCCCACTTACTTTTATTTTCCATGTACTTATTCTTACATTGGTCACTTTTTATGGCTATTCCAATGTTCCACTTAACTCATACTTCATAAAATACTCAACTATTTCCCCACCACTGGGCAATTCGGTTATAAAATGCCATTATAGATATAGAGTGTTTTAAAAATATTTTTAAAAATATAATCATTACATCCTTGGGAAAAATTCCAATGATTAAATTATTGAGTCCAAGAAAATCAACAGACTTTAACTCACCAAGTTTTGAACAAAACTGTTCAGCTTCCAAGAAACTGTGCAATGCCTGGTTGGACGCGTAACAGTGGTCCCTATACTGGATCCACTGTGATTCGTTCCCTTTCACTGCTGGACATCTTGATGAGTAGGTATGAGAAGACACCTCTTTAGCTATAAAAATGTTAGACATGACTGTAAACACGCACAGACAAAATGATTGGCTTTTAAAATCTCACTAAACCCTGTTTGAAACTATGGTGCCTGTGAGTAAGAAAGCATTCAACTCAATACACACACCAGAGAAAGCTACAGCTCATACTCTAACAGTATACATTGTTTTAAGTGTTTGTTTATTTTTGAGAGAGAGCACAAGCAGAATAGGGGCAGAGAGCCCAAAGCACGCTCCATGTTGACAGCAGCTAGCCTGATGCGGGGCTCGAACTCATGAACCTTGGGATCATGACCTAAGCTGAAGTTGGACACTCAACAGACTGAGCCATCCAGGCACCCCTAAGAATACACATTCTAATTAGCTTTTTTGGAATACCATTTTTAACTTAGAAAATAGAAGAAACTATTTAGCTTTCTAAGATGCAATTAGCTTAATGTAAAAACAATTGGAGAGACAGAATAAGAAAAGAAGCAAAGACAGGCTGGCTGAGTAGGCCTGTAACTACTTTGAAACAATTAAAATTCTTTCCTTGAATTCTTTTTATCTTGGTAATATATAACTAGTTTTACCTTGCCATGTAAAGAACTACTTTTAAAAATCACATCTACAAGTGAAAATTTGGTAATTTGTTTACACAGTGCAGTGTATCTGCACAGCAAAATCTGTCTCAAACAAAAAGTCTAAGTATGGCTTCTGTACCCATTAAATAATAACTCCCCATTCCTGCCTGCCCCCAGAAACTACCATTGCACTTTCTGATTCTATGAATTTGACAACTCCAGGTACCTCATACAATTCAAGTCATATGGCATTTGTCCTTTTGTGTCTGACTTATTTCACTTGGAATAATATCCTCAAGATTCAGCCATGCATGTTGTATTATGTGTTAGAATTTCCTGCTTTTTTAATGCTGACTAATATTCCACAGAATGTATATACCATATTTTGCTTATGCATTCATCTGTCAATGGACAACTTGGGCTGCTTCCACCTTTTGGCCATTGTGAATAATGATGCTTGTGAACAGGGTTGTACAAATATCTGTTCCAGTCCCTGCTTTCATTTCTCTTGAGTATATACCCAGAAGTGGAACTGCTGGATCCTATGGTAATTTTATTTAAAAATTTTGAGAAATCTCCATACCATTTTCCACAGTGGCTACACACAATGTTTTATTCCCACAAGCAGTGTACTAGGGCTCCAATTTCTCCACATCCTTGCCAACACTTGTTATTTTCCTTTTTTGTTTTTTGAGGATTCAGTTTTTAATGTTTGCTCTTGTACTAGTTTCCCAGGGCTGCCATAATAAATTACCACAAACTTGGTGGTTTAAAACAACAGAAATTTCTCCTCTCACAGTTCTGGAGTCTAGTCTAAAAATGAGTGTCAGCGGGGTTGGTACTTTCTGGAGGCTCTGAAGGAGAGTCAGAACTCCCAGCTTCTGGTGGTTGCTGGCAATCTTTAGCTTGTAGCTGCATCACTGCAATTTCTGCTTCCATCATCAAATGGCCTTCTCGGTCTGTCTGCTTCTCTCCTCTTATAAGGGCACCAGTCATTGGATTTAGGGCCCATCCTTATCAAGCATTACCTCATCTTAACTAATTAATCTGCAAAGGCTATTTCTTTTTTTTTTTTTTT